CTTGAAAAAGGCAAAAATTACAAATGCACTTATCAAGTTATCAACAAATAGGATGTATTTCGGGAGGACTTTGTGTTGAAAAAAGATCTGCTCAGTTTCTTCCGCATATTGTTTACAAATAGAGTCTAACGAGTTTTTATCGGATCCACAATTCAGCTTCCTGAGTATTCAATGCTCTTTGTCTTTACAAAAAATAAACAAATGTCTACCGAGTTTGCAGCACAAAATTAATGCTTTATGTAAAAAAGTGTTATGCCTGGATTTTATAGCTAAATTAGGCCAAAATTTTCACAAGAAGGGGAGTGGAATTCTAGTATCAATGACTCAGGTGAATAGCTTATCCCCAAAAAGCTGAAGGCGCTTATCTGTATCGGGCTTCCAATCATCTACATCGGTTACAAATATTAAGCCAGCAATGAAAGCAGTATTTACGAGTAATCTGAGACAATATAAAAATTTTTAAGACAAAAGTGCTCTTATCCACTGCTAGTCAAATAAAGCACGAGATTGGTTATGCTGTATGACAGCTGTCCTTAGACAAAGTCTCAAAAAATGGACCTTGTTAAAAAGTCAAGACACTTTAATTCAAACCGCTGTTAGTTTTGCGAGCATTGCAATGTAGGCATTATAAGTTAAGTCTAGGAATGCAAAGTTTCAACTTAAAAGGATATCAAGAATCAGTAACTACACCCTATTTCCACACTTTGTAGGAATAATGTACACAAAATAACACCTCATGGAAGTAGAAAATGTCCTCAATCAGTTACGATCAAGTGAATTTAGAACAAAGCCTTACTACATGGCAGCGACCTTTGCAATGAATATTACAAAGTGGACCCAACCTCCAACATCCAATCATTTCGTCTATGCACATTAGTTGCTAAGATATAGATTTGGTATGCTGTCACTGCGGCAACTGCGTTCAAATTATTAGTTCCATTGCAGTTAAGTCTAATTAAATTTTGCTTTCTCCTCAACTTTAACTGCCCATGTGTTTGAGCCACGCACCAATGTAGAATCCAAAATAGGTATAATAAGAGCTATGAAATCCGTAAAATGAATAAACTTACGCTGAAGACAATCTGCATTTATGAGTTCACGACACTTTTCGTGGCACTTTACGCCACACTCCGTGCATCGCAAACCCTGCCGAGCCAAGCCCCACAACATACCCTCACACTCGTAGCAATAGGTGGGACTGGTCGCACTCCATACTTGAAAGTTGTGTGGCGTATCGCTCGAGATTGGGTAAAGCAGAGCCTGAAGAGTCTTCTTATAGACGTGTTGTTTCTGAAAAAACAAAAAACATGATTATCTTCGGGGTCTGTAGTAGTGCAGCCTAACAAAGCGTACAGTACAACGACTGCTCCTTTGACACGTATTCAGCAATAGTTACTTTTATAGGTGTGGATGGTCTCATGGGCAAAACTTAAGCCCAATTAAGAGCTTTGAACGCAATTTTGTCTTCAGTCTTACAGACACTACTCAAACGACGACGACGCCCGTTTATCAATTAAAAAAAATTGTCAATTGTACGGCCATTGCCACATTATAAATGAACGGCCTTACAAAATACTTCAAAAATTGTGAAGCAAGTTTGGAAGGATACAGTTCTTAGAGCAAATAGAAAGCGTTGACCGTGCAAAGTTACCAGAGGACTGATAGCGAGAGCCAAAGAAGCATTAAAACGGAGAATAAAATAACCCAGCCGATTGAAGGAAACGAGATGCCGGTATAGTGACCGATTATTGGACTTTTGAACTTATAGAACGACAGGGTTGACAGATCATCATACAGATGATCACTATTTGCAGAGCAATAAAAAATTTTAGTCAAATGTTTTTATTTCTGTGGTAAAAGTCTCTGTCTATAGTATTGACGTTCATTGTCTTCTGCACCATTTTACATCTATTTTGTTTTGCTACAATGTGTGAACTTGAGCTTCTAGCTGCATTTATTTAACATAAGAACAAGATATAGCAATAATGTATACCATTTGCATATGGTGTAAAGGAATAATTTAATTTCGACCTGGAGACGCTATGAGATGACCGCATTGTATTTTAGAGGCCCCTTTTTCCTTTGATGGTGCAGAACAATGCTTCGAAAAATAAAAGAACAGTGTCTCAGGATCGAAGGAGGTGTGGCAATCTGTCGAGATTTTGACAAGTTGGAAAAGTTGCCACGGAGCAAAAAGGCGGGTCTCGGCTAAGAACATCAACAGATGAAAAACACCTTTAAAGGCTCTCT